CATTCTTCTCAACAAATATGAACCACTTTCTTCTTGCTAGGCTGTAGAATTTGTCCCTGTTTCATTATTTGCATTCAGTGTGGCAAGCTTTAAATTTGAGCTGCCATGCAGAAGAATGGGAAGCAAATGAACCAAAAAATGCAATAAAGACTCATTCACATCAATACGGTATTGCACTAATATTTGACCTGCGGCTTTCAGCATTGTCTGAGTGAGTGCAAGCCAAAGCTGACCACAGTGTTATTCTTCAGTTTTGTTTTTGCTAGTGCTGGTTTAATTGCAATTGATCAAATTGGTGCATTTAGAGCTATATATTATTGTTAAATATCATTAATTAGTTGAAGCTTATTTAATATTTAAAGTGACACTAATCTCATGTGTTAAATCTTAAAAATGCATGTAAGTACCTTAACTATTAACAAAAATGTATCTTATTTGTGTATCACTCAGCTGTAGATCCTCAAATCATCTCTGAACTGGTGCTGACACTGTCCTTCCTTCTGGAGGGTGGCTACTTTTGTTTCCCATGGTCACTGTGTGTGTGTTGTAAAGCAGTTACCGCTCCAAGATCGCTCCTGTGATGGATTACAATCTCATGTTTAGTTTATTAACTTGTATTGAGATTGTAGTCTATCATGGGAGAAAGCTTGGAGCAGTGGATAGATACATTTTCGTTAATAGTTAAGGTACATGCATTTTTAATAGGGATGGACCAATACCGATACCAGTATCGGTATCGGTGCTGATACCAAGTAATTGTGTGAGTACTTGTACTTGCCCAAATGCTCTGATACTTATCCCCAATACCTGAACTTCCGGTCAGAGGGAGATTTCCTCTGACCGGCAAAGAGAGATTTCCTCTGACCGGCAGTGCCACTAGGGAACAAGGAGCTGGCTTCCCAGCCAATCAGGAAGCCGGGCGGCAGGTAATGACTATTGGCGAGTGAACAAAGATAAATATCGGTACTTGTACTCAATACCGAAAAAACGGTATCGGCACATCCCTAATTTTTAAGATTTAACTTCTGATTTTAGTGTTAATTTAAGTTCACCCTATAGCACTATGAAAATCGTGTGGCGGTATCAATACTGGGGCAGACAGATTCTGGAGCATCTCTCTTCAGTTTGCTCAGGTACAATTTGAAAATGAAACAGAAAAGCCGATTGGTTGCAGTGCAAATCTGCTGCAGATTTTGTCGGCTCCAGTTTTGATATATTCCCCCCTATGTATTTTAGGGTGCATCTTTAGTATACATTTTGCTGCATTTTAGCATATTCTGCCACATTAAAATGCAGCTAAACACAATTACATTAGTAGTCAGTTTAAATGTACCTTCCACATAGGTAGTGAATGAATAGGC